GCTGCTCTGAATGTTCGAGGACAGACAGCGCAGGCAGGGCTCTTTTATACTGCAGGAACGGTGCCTGTGTGGAGTTGACCCCTGTCCTCTTACACATCAGAGGTCCAAAGGGTGAGTGCAATAAGAGATGCCTTTAAGATATCTGTAGACACGTCGATGCACTGTCAGTCTCACATATCACATGCGTTCAGTGATATCGTTTCACAGAAAACATGCCACTTAAAAGGTTAAAAGTATTGCTTCTTAATTACATTTGTTAAACAACAGTAGATCAAATAGCAGTGATTTTATGGGATGTTTTGTAGTTCTTGGGACAAATATATTCTGAAATTGAGCAACTTTATATTTTGATGTAGCAACAAGTTTGGTGTACAGTGTAAATTAGTTTTATTTTTATCCATTTCTCAGGGAATATGGACAATATATTTTGGTTCATTTGAATAAAGTTTTATTCTTTAACCCTTTAACTGCCAAACCAACAAAAAAAAAAGAGTTGCATCTCTTAACTCCTAAAGTCGCTAGATAACACACTCAATGCACAACACATCCCATCATTTCTAAAATATCAACCTCTAGCAAATGGTTGATGTTGGTTTATGGTAAAAGTACCGGAATTAATACATAAACTATGAAAATATGAAGTGTAAGACCAATTTATTTTTTAAAAATCATCAAAATAAAACATTTTGAATAAAAAATCATCTTGATTGTTTGCCATTAAATATTTTAGATTCTCATTTAACATTATTTAACCTGTCTTGTTTTTTTTTTTTTTTTACAACTAAACTTAAATCAAGTGTAGCAGTGCAACAGGATTATGTTTGCTTATTTTTTGTAAACAAACAATGCTGTGTGTGTAAACCATTATTTAAAACAGTCATTCTTTGAACAACTTTAACAGTCATTATTTAAAACTGTCAAAATATAAAAAAAATAACAAAAACAAAGTTACACAAAAAGCTAAACATATTCAACCAAATTTTACATTTTTATGGTAAAATTACTTTTTGCTTTTCTCCCTTTTTATTAAAGTTTCATTTAATATTTTCTAACATTCATTGGGGTGCTAATTTTTGCACCTTGATTATGGTACTGACTAATGTAATATGTATATACACTAATATCTTAATGTATAGCATTTTATAGATAGTATCTTTTTTACTAATATATTAATTGGATTTTGTTTGAACTTCAGAACAAAATATAAAGAAAATAAAACACAAACTGGTTCTGAAACATTGAAACATCAGGAATCCGACAAATGATTAAAAAGGTGAAAATAAGTGACAAATTCAAATAATAACTTGGTAACATACTTGGTTAACATAGAATAATAACTTGGATGCATAGTTAAAAATAGATAAAGGTTAATAATACATATTATTGTACATTTACATTTGACTGCTTTCAAATGTGTATACAAGTTTTTTAATTGTTCTGCATTCTTTAATCCACTGAGCTTTTGAGTCTCCTTCTATTTTATAGTAATAACAGGCTTCGCTTTGAGACAGTTTCATTCTATTAGTTTGTGCTTGCTTGTGTTAATGTCAAATAGAAAGTATTAATTTAAAAGAGAGATCTGTAAGTATGTATTCCTTTACGCTGGCCAGTGCACTGTATATATTAGGTATTGTTGGTTGGGGCAGAACAGTCATACATTTATTGGTTTGTGATTAAGGAGTTTGTTATTGAGCACCGTGTGATTACATCTCACTCATAAACTGGCAATGGTGAAAGCATGACAAGACTGTAAAGTTATCTCAAAACATTTGGCAACGTGTAGCAAACCTTGATCCTATCCTCCTTCAGCTCCAAAACCCATTTTATCAACTGCCAATCAGAGAAAGACTAGTCAGAGCCATTGATCAATTGGTTGTGTTTGTCAGCTGATTCACTCAGCTGCTCATATTCTTCAGTAGAGCTTCTTTATTAAGTGGTTAAATGCTCAGCTCTATTTTAATTGAATCTGAAGACTTTTTAGTTAAGTGTAAATTAATTATAATGCTGATTTAATAGTTTTTACGGGTCTTGAAATATTGTGGAATTTTAATAGCTTTAGTCGATAGTTATTGATATTGATATTCTGGAATTTTTTTTGACATTGATAGTCAGGGAATTTTTATTTTGTTTGTCCAAGTCGTGGAATATGAGGGACTTTGTCAGTTTAAATTTTAAATTAATTTCTATTTAGCAGTATGTTTATTTTAGTACATCATTGTTTCATGTCTATAGTTATGGTTAGGCTACTTTTCAGCTCCATTTTGTTCTTTTTTCACGCTGTTCAACTGACAGTCACTTTAGACAAATTACATTAGCCAGAATATACCCGTTAACTTTAAGAGCTTTAACTTTTTAACACCCAGTCTTTGAAGTGGTCCTTTTAAAGCCAAACGACAGAAATGCTAAATCTTTAAAACTCCATTTGAGCTTTCAAACATGGGAGATTAAAGGATTCACATCCATGCAAAGTTTTCTTTCAAAAGCTGAGGTAAATTATTATTATTGTTATTATTATTATTATTATTATGCCGTTTCAAGGTGTCTACGGGTCATGAAATATCATGGAATTTTAAAAGCTTAATTCCTGATATTGATTGTCAGGGAATTTTTATTTAGTTTGTCCAAGTCATGGTTTAAATTTCAATATCTATTTAGCAGTGTGTTTATTTTGTTACCTGTTTAACTGTTTCAAGTCTATTTTTATTTTTAGGCTTTTCAGCTCCATTTAGTTTTTTCACGCTGTTTAACTGACAGTCACTTAAGTCAAATGCAATAACCAGAATATATCTGATAACTAAAGTCAAACACGTCAGGATAATATACCTTTAAAGAGCTTTATAATGACCACTCAAACACTTTTTGGTTAAAAGTTGATGACAGAAAAGACATGGGAGAGGAGTAGCTTCACATCCACACCAACAGCAAGTACTTCAGGTGTTTTTTTTTTCATAATCTGAGGATAAATTATCGATTGTTGTTCTCACATAGGCTGTTAAAATCATGCAAAATGATATTCAAGCTAAAACCATTTTAATTTTATGTTTATATTTTAACATTTGCTAATGTTTAACTACAGGGCTGCCGACTCTTACATGGCAGTATCCTCACGCCCTATTCCCCTCTTATCCCCCACCGCCCGGTCTTCCCTTACTCGACCAAACAACCACCCCTCGCCCCCAATCTTCACTTTTTTGGGTGAAAATACCAATACATAGCAATATATTTTGGGGTCGGGGAAAAAAAAAATCTCATTCCTAGGTAAAACCAAAAGTTAGCAGCCCTGTAATATATAAACACAATGTCAGCCTGTATTTACATTCCATAGATATCATGGAAACTGCACTTTTTAGTCTGTGAAAGTTAGGGAATTTTATATTTGGCTAAGAAACCTGTGATTTATTGTTACAGAAATGAAAAAAGGATGTGGAAACCTTTAAAATATCGCACACGCACGCATATACGTATGTACGTTCCTATATCCCACTGGGGACTTTTATAGACTCTCATAACTATGTTTCTACAACAAACCACATATTATATCCCTCAACCCAAACCCTGCTCCTAAACCCAACCCTCACAGGAAACAAATCGCATTCTTACATCTTAAATGTTTTATTTTGTGTTATTTATAACAGTTTACTTCAGTTTTGGTCCCCACAGTGTCCTGGTTGCATTTTTATATCCCCAATAAGGTATAGAGCTATCTAAAGGAAGTGATCAATCTTTTTAGTTTATTTAAAAACTATTTTGAAAATAGAGATATTTAGTGCAAATATCTGCCCAGTTATTTTACTAAATTGTAACATATTTGGGACTTTAAACGACACTGCAAAGTCCTCATCTGTAATAGGCAGAAACAAAAATGGTCTGTACTACAGTATGAACTGGTCTTTATCAGCAGTATCTTATCACTGTCTTGAGGTTTACGCAACATGTAATGGTAAGTACCCATAAATAGACTAAGTTGCATGTCATTGAGTACTATGCAAGTTATTTCATGTCATTTTTCTTTTTTTATTTTGGAGAGAGATTAATATTTTAATAGCATAAATTCTTCTAAGGATACTACGGTGTGAGATATGTTGTTTCTTCCTCTTTAACAATAAAAATAATACTTGAATACAATCTAGTAAGTATAATGATTATAAATAATAATGCAAAAGAGATGCTTAAAAATTATATAAACTTCAATGTAAAAAAAAGTTCATTAAAACAAAAAACATACAAGTGATAATAAAAATTAAATAATAAGATTAAAATAAGATTATTTTTAATAAGATGAATAAGGTTAAAAGTAGTTAAAAAACAACCTAAAAATATTTATAGTTTTTTACATAAATGCATTAATATAAATAGAAACAAGTAAATAACAGTTTCATCTAAAAATTACACAATTTATTAAAATTATATAATATAAATATGAAATATCAACTGAAAAATGCATTAAAACTAAATAAAAAATGCATAATAATAATTTAATTAAATAAAATATTTCAATAAATAAAGAACTACAATAAATACAAAAGATTCAACTAATTGCACACATTGTTAGGTGCTAAAAAATGAATAAGTTATAAATATAGGTGTTTTGTTGTTAGGTGCTGGGTGATGACCAGCTAAAACTAGCTTGACTAGCATAGCCAGTCTGAGAGCCCAGCTAAAACCAGCTTATGTCCAGCTTAAACCAAGCTGGTCTTAGCTGTTCATTTCCCAGCCTGGCCAGCTGAAGACCAGGCCGAAAATGGCTGGAAACCAAAACTCCTCTAAAACCAGGCTGGTGGACCAACTTAATCCAGCCAACCAGACGTGGCTGATTTTAGCTGTTTTTTTTTTTTTCATCTAGGAAAGAGCAGCAAAAGTATTTTTCTTTCAGTGTGGAGCTTGAGTATGGGATGCATGTTCCCTGGATCCATTAGAAAGCATTATATGTATATGCTGTGAGAAGAAACTAATATAAACATCATGAATTGACAGCTTGTAAAAGACGGCTGCGTACACGCTTGAGGTTTGATCCCTGCTGTTTTATTGGAATGCTTGGATCTAAAGCATGTGGCAGTTGTGCCGCAGTAATAGTGCACGCTTTGCAGACCATACAAATAGTTACAGATGGGTGATCTCTTACACTCCAACACAAAAAACAAACATTCACATACAACAGCACCAGCTACATAAGCACTTTGCACAGAGCACATTAATACTAACAGATTTTATATATATATATATATATATATATATATATATTCATTTATGTATATACACACACTCGCACACATACTCGCATACAATTTTATACATCACTTCTTGTCCATTGGCTCATCCACACATACACCAACTCTTCACATAATACTTTACAAAGCGCCAGGACACAAACAAAAAACATGGATACAGGTGAGGTAAATATTTACACTGAAAACCTCATGGTTGTGCATTAGATTTCACCCAAAAATAATTATACTAAACTCTGTTATTATTTACTCATACTCCAGTTGCTCCAAAACTATTTATTTCTTCTGCTGAACATTAAAGATGTTTTAATGTATTTCAAATGTGTTTTAATGACACATTTGGAACGTTTTTCCACTCTATGAAGTCAAAAGAGACTTTTTGGTTACTTGAAGATGCTTTTTAAGTCTACTGTTTTTTTAAAGTGATGGTCCAAACCAGTTTTACTTTCTTCTGTTGAGCAGAAAAAGAAGATATTTTGAAAAAAGCTGGAAACCTGTAACCATTGACAACATGCATAGTGTCTGTTTCTTTCTCTGGTAGAGTCAATGGGTTTCAGTCATAACAACACACACGAAAAAGAGCGAATGACTCAGTTTTCATGCACATTATGTACATTTGTAATTCTTTTTCCACTCTGATCACCTTTAAAGTGTGATTTCATCTTATTTTATTTATTTTTATAATGATTTTTTTTTCATGGTTTTTACCTTTATTTTTGGTTAGGAAAGTAGTGAGAATTGAAAAGAAAAGCATTGGGAGCAGAGAGAGGGGATGGATCGGCAAAGGACCGCGAGGCGGAATCCAACTTGGGTCGCCATGAGCACCCATGTGCATGTGTCGACGCACTAACCACTACATCACTGGCACTGACATTTAGACTTATTAATAGCGTGAAATTAATGGTGGCTAATTCTCAAATGGGTTTCAGTTTTCTTCAAACAGTCTTCTTTTGCATTTAACAGAAGAAAGAAACTCAATGGTTTGTAATCACTTGAGGATCTTGTATGGAGCTAATAATATGCTAAAACAATATGAATTTGAATTGTTCATTTGAAGTATTGACAATTGTAAGTTAATGAATCTGAATCTTTATATGCTATTAAAATAGTTTTGAATTTGAATTTTTTTTTTTCTTAAATTGAATTAGAATGTCAAAATTTGATTTTTGAACATCTGAAATTTAAGACGACTGAATATTTTTATAGACGCATTTTCAAACTGTTCTGATTTCCTAGACTGCAGATATTGGGTTTGTAAAAATACAGTTTCAGGTTTTAAAGATAAAGAAATTTAGAACATCAATATCCTAAAATTCAAAACCAGCAATTCAGATTAAGCAGAAAATTAGTCAGGGGTGACCAACAGGGAAGAGTAGATGATCACCGAAAAGTCAAACTAAGCTTCACTCACCTCTGCTTGATTCATGGTTATGGACGGATTACAGGGTGTGAATTATGAGAATGGGGGGTTTGGGAGGGTCTGGAAATAGGTTTAAAAAAATATTTTATCTACCGTACATATAGCCTTGTGTAAAATTAAATTCATATTTTTTTACCTTTAAGTATAGGGAAGGCTGCTTTTGGTTTTATTATTAAGAATTATGAAATTCAAATGAAGAAAATCAAATTTAAAACACCATTTTTAACAGCATTTAAAATTTCAGATTTATTTAGTCAATGATTCAAATGAACACAATTCAATTTCAGATTGTTTTGGCATATTATTACCTCCATAATCTTGATGAGTAAATGAGTAGATTTTCATTTTTGGGTGAACTATCCCTTAGGAGGGGCTTTCTCACTTCAAACTCGCAAACACACAAGGAATGACATGGTTTGATCACTCCAGTCTCTAATATATCATATTTGTGTTACTGGGAATATGAAAGGGCAAAAGGAAAAGAGAAGGTTTGAGATGCATCTGTGAACTGAAAAATAGAAGCAAGACAGATATTTCAAAGGCATGATCTCTCTGTTGTGAACTATCATCATAACACCGCTGTGAGTGTGACCGAGTGCATGTATGAAGGCACGGAGAAGCTGGCAGAGTAAGTGCTACTATTAAAGGATTTTTAGACCGTGACGATGGGATTTTGATGAGATTCAGGTCCCACTGCTGTCCTAAGAAAAATCTAGTCTTGTCACAAACATCTACTCTTCATTCTCCTAGTGTCTAGCATCTTGGACAACATATACACATTTTATACTGATCATATAAAATCAGCCACTGTCCTACGTAGCCTTTTTGTTTCGCATGTTGCCCAATCTTTTAGTAAGTACATCCTTAATATGCAACTTTTCTAAAACGCTGCCTCTCCAGTGATGAATCAAAGTGGGCTTTTTAAACCAGTGAAGCCCTCCTCTCCTGAGGCGTTTCCTCCAGAAGTTGAAGCAGCAGCTCGTGGAGAGTTGTTGAAATGGTCCTGTAAGCACTAGCGGTGAGATGCAGGTAGTCGAACATGTCTCGAGAGGAAATAGTCCCATCCGAGTGAACAAAACTACTCCCCATGTCGAGAAACTGTATGGGGCCGAGTCGAGGGAGCGATGCTCGAAGTAAATTGTTCACGGATGCATTTTTCTCTCTCAGGGGGTTTGGAAACTCTCCTCTCGGCAATAGGCCCTGAATGACAGGAATGATACGACTAATCAGTTTTGAATGAATCAATGAACTGAAGTTAAACTGCAGGAGTGGTAGAGCCCTATGAAATCTTTTATTATTGTTTCTAAAGATTTTCTTTGCTCCATTTTAATAGTTGATACATTTTTGGATAAAAAAAAAATTAATGGTTAACATACATTTTAGTAACCTACAGTGTAAAAATGCTGGGTTCTACACATTTCCTACATGTTGTCTTAACACAAATCAAGTACATTAAAGAGCACCTATTTTACAATTTAAGATAAATCTTTTCTGTATCCAGAATGTGTCTAAAGTTTCAGCTGTGCCTCAATCTTCGGCTGTGTCCGATAAACAGCACAGTGACAGACATGAAGGAAGCATATCACACATAATGTTTGTGAGAAATACTACAGTAAGAACTTTATCAATGATAATTTCATGTATTTGTTGTGGTTAACTCAAGATTTTCGATGTGTCACACACAATGTCATTACACAGTTCACGCACACAGACACACACTTTGCAGTGTTTTTGCATGGCAGATGTGACAGGATACACGTTAATATCCACTGCTGTATGGATATCTGTTATGTTAATGTACAAATAAACCCGACTTAACATCCAAAAACTGGGATTGAAGCATCTTTTATAATTGTACTGATACGCGGCTTTGCTGGTAAAGACAGTAAAATCACTGTAATTCATTACAACTAGCAGGATTTTCAAAATGTTTTAAACTTGTAAAACTTATTCTTGATAACATTTGATGATGATTGATGATCACATATTGTTCATTCACATATTTATCATTCATATTAATCATTCGTGGTTAATTATTAACACTCATCATAAGTCATTTCAAAATGATTCTGTACAGCACCACTTATTCAAAATCCACATTTCCTGAATTCTGCAATTCAGTCTGAATTTGTTCTGCATTATGAAAATCATAGGGCCCTAGAGCTGATACACATTAGTAACAACAACACATCTCATATCATGATTTTTGTAACTCACCAAAACAATCATTTTGGACTTGGGGAGGCGAGACAGAAGTAACTGTGCAATAGCGAGTATTCCTCCTGCAACCTGATCTGCAGTGTGCTCATGGTTATTAGTTCCTACCCATACAACCACAACCTGTGGAAAAACCAACAAAGACATAATTACAGCTGGTGGACACACAATAGGGCTATATGCACACAGCCTTTTCATTTCAGCCAGCCAGCCTCAGCGCTTCCGGTGAGCTGTCTTTCGACATTGTGTCTTTCAAAAAAAAAAAAAAGTGATCTTCACTGCCTGATAGATATACAATATGAAGTGTGATCTCAGACTGGACAAGAAGCACTGCATTAAATCTTTTTCCCCCCACCATGTCTTTAAAATTGACAGTTTATTTTGCCCCAGTATTTTCAATGGAGTTTCTGTGCTCGCCTGCTGATCTGACGGCGTTTTATGACGTTTTATGCTTGAACAACTAAATGAACGCTTAAGTCTATTAAACTGAATGTATTTTAATTACATTACAACATTGATGCTGGAAAAGGAACCTTTTGAAATTGAAAATAATCACATTAAGCTTTCACCGAAAGTTTAGCATTGGCTGAAAAACACTAGCTGTGCATATAGACCACTGGCTTTATAGTAAGCATCACTGTAACAAACCCAAACTCCTCCTTACTCGGGGTCTGATGTTCTCCAGTTCTCCATTCTGTAGTCTCCACATCACATTACTGGTTGTGTCTCCACCAATCCCAAAATTAAGAGCATGGAGAGGGGAAAACAATTCCCTCCACACCTGAAAACAGCACAGATTGTAAATCAAACATGTACATTTACTTGGACACATATTTAGTGCTGATAAATATTAATAATACGAAATAATGTGTGAAAACTAACAAAATCTATTAAATGTACTGTTAAATTAATAATAAAAAGTAATGTCTTCATTTTTTTTCTTATTGCAACACTATAATTTCGTACTAATTGGATATTATATATTTATTATTAAACAACTGAAAATGTTTCATGTAAGGTTCATTTAATTGCAGCTGAGGAAATGTTATCACAACAACAAAGGAAAGGTTTTGCGAACAGACGACAACATTGTCAAAACAATCCTCATTCACACCTACAGTGTCTGCGAAAACGACTAAAAACATATCTTTGTTGTTGATGCCATTTTGTGTAAAAATGTGGTTGCACACACAAGCCACTTTTCTACACTTTTGTCGAACTGTACAGTCAGGTATGGTTCTAGTTGTGTTTCTACTTTGGCAATGACTGACGCTTTTGTATACATTCCACAGAGTTAGGGATGGCTGATGTGAAACTGACGTTTCAACACCTGAAGCGTGTCGAAAATCCCGAAGTGCAAGTCTTTTGAAACACTGCACCGAAGCATGATTCGAAACACCAGGTCACGTGACTAAAGCAATCCAAAGCATCTGTCGTTTCAGAAGCATTTCAAGACCTGGCGATTCTGCGTTTGACTGACAGGGTCAGAAAAAAATCAATCTCATGTAGTCTAGTGGACCATGCGTGTGCACAGAGTAACTGTGCTGCAAATGGCCCGAGTTCAAATCCTGACTTATAAATACTCAGAAATTATGACTAGATGTATTTAAATAAAGTTACTTTTTATGACCAAACCAACACCTATTTATTCACAAAGTGTTGAATCGGATGTCAAACCATTGTTAAAACAAAACACGTTATAAGAACGGTATATAAAGAGTAATACATAGAGCTGCATCACCCTGCATTCGAACATATTATCTCTGCATGTTAGTGTGAAACTCTTACCGCTTCACTAAATCGCTTGAAGCCTCAATTCAACAACGTGGAGTTTAATACCTTAATTTGCTTAACTGTTTGTTTGCTGTAGCTGCGCCTTAACAATACATACACTGACCACTAGGTGTCACTGAAGAGACTTTTTTCGAAACGTTTCAAAGCTTCGCGTATTTGTTTTGACTGTTTCAGTGTTTCATGAAGCCTCGCTTTGCCCACCACTACACAGAGTTCCGTTATCAGCACCACAGTGGACAATGAAACGGATCGGCAATGGACTGGTTAAAGGTCCAGTGAAGTGATTTGAAATGTGAATTTTTTTCTAATTTGATGTAATATTAACTGAAAAATGAACAGAGGGTGAGACAGAGTTTATTAAAACTCCCCTTAAATAAACAGCCAATAGTGTTTTGTTTTAATCACAACTCTGCCAATGAGAGTGATTCAGCTCAAGTGCTCAAAGGGCGGGACATGTCAGACACTAGAGAGCATTTGATTGGTCAAGATTTGATTAGAAATTGAAGTATGAAAAATTAAAAAATGCCTAAAATCTAATTTAGGCAGACATTTTGTCACTGTTTTGGAGCACACCAACTTAAATATTTATATACTTAAAACTAGTAGACTGAAACTAACATTTACATTTTTTTGCAATCTTACATGACCTTTAAGCAAACTGGACTGATAGTGTTAAAAACACATTTTCTTTATCTATCGTTTTTAAATGTTGGCATTAACGTTTAAATTAACAGCCAAACTACATAATACATTTTATATTTGTAGTTGAAAATGGCATAGCATCATTGGCTCCCTTGAAACCACAGACTAGTAGTTACTGTATGAAGGAAGAATAGGTGAACAGGCTTTTCCGTGAAATAAAAGACTTCAAAGAACAGCCCTGTACTCCATTAAAAATATTTAAACTTCAAATGAAGTTATAAAATATAACTATAAATTGCATAAAAATGTGATACTATGCTAATAAGGATTCTTTTGAAATGCTTAATTAAGTTTATTTTCTTTCAGAACAAATGAAACTGTAATAGAATGTTTAGAACGCATGATTCTCCTCTCATGGACCGACTCATTAACAGCATAGCAATTACCTCGTACTGCTGCATAAGCTGCACCATTGAGTCCCCCACAAACAGAACATCAGGCTCTGCATCCTTACACTCCTGCACAAACCGGTTATGCTGCAACAACAACAGGACAAATGCAAGCATGATACACTAATCCTAACTGGGGTGTTGCAAACAAAGAGAAGATTTGCATGCCTTTCAGATTTTATTGCACACCTGTGACATCCAGCGTCCATCACCCTGCACGTCGGTCACAGGTGCAGGTTCAGCAGCGGGATTCTCCTCCGCACTCATTCTCTACAACACAAACACAGGTGGCACAACAACACTAATGAGGAGATGTGTTGACGTAATGCAAATGAACTAGTTTGAGCCAGTCAAAATGTCATATTTGCAAATACAATTCAATACTTTAGTGATTGAAAGAGCAGTTATGAGAGTAAAATGAAGACCAAGTAAAGATAAAAATAATTAAATTAAGCCACAGTAAATGCATTGTGCTACAGGTCAAAGTTTCAATTTATACTTATAATTTAATTTTATACTTTCAACTGATCTCCAATACATTTTAATCAGTTTTTTTTTTCAAAAAGCTTGGGATCTGATTGTTTTCCATTCACTAAAATATCTATCAGATAAATTATCAGATGACACTGCAAAAAAAGTGATGGTTTTCCAGTGCAAACATCTAAAAATTGCGATACAGTGCATCCGGAAAGTATTCATAGTGTATATATATATATATATATATACATATACATATACATATACATATATATATATATATATATATATATATATATATATATATATATATATATAAAATTGTTGCAAATTTATTTAAAAAAATAAATAAATCACATGTACACAAGTATTCACAGCCTTTGCCGTGAAGCTCTAAATTGAGCTTGGGTACATTCTGTTTCCACTGATCATTCTTGAGATGTTTCAGCAGCATAATTTGAGTTCACCTGTGGTAAATTCAGTTGATTGGACATAATTTGAAAAGGCATACACCTGTCTATATAAGGTCCCAGGGTTGACAGTGCATGTCAGGCCATATCAAGGGACCAGGCCATATCCTGAGCTGCTGCTGTGCTGATGGTCGTGGGGAATGGAGAACATGAGTCTGATTCCAGCGACGCTCCAGGGACAGACGAGTCTTCATTGAGGCCATCTTCCAGCATAAACCACGGCGAATGAAGTTCTGCACAAGACTTTTGGCCAGCGGAGAAATTAAAATGGTCGTGCCCAACTGAGTCTGGTTCTCTCAAGGTTTTTTTTCTTCACTCCCATCAGGTGAAGTTTTTTTTCCCTCTCCGCTGTCGCCACTGCCTCGCATGGTTCAGGATTGGTAGAGCTACGCATCGATGAATTTGCTCTTCAGTGTTTGAACTCTCAGTAATGATTAAATCACACTGAACTGAGCTAAACTGAACTGAACTGAACTTAAACACTAAAACCTGAACCACACTGTTCCAGTTACTATGACCATTTATGTGAAGCTGCTTTGACACAATCTACATTGTAAAAGCGCTATACAAATAAAGCTGAATTGAATTGAACTGTAATTGCTGCCAACAGTGCATCAACAAATTGTTGAGCAAAGGCTGTGAATAGCTACATATAATTGTTTTTTTTAGGTTTTATTTTTTAAAAATTTGCAACCATTCCAAAAATCTTTCTTCATATTGTCATTATAGGGAATTGTGTGTAGAATGTTGAGGAAATAAATTAATTTAATCCATTTTGGAATAAGGCTGTAACAAAAAATATGAATAATTTCTGGATGCACTGTAAGTCTAGTTGAGAGAAAAATTAATCAATGTAATGATAACTACAATTACAAAATATGTCAAAGGATTCAAAATTAATTTTCATTCATGCTCACCTAATGTTTCTCAAAAAACAAACAAACAAGTCTTTACATATTAATTTTGCATCTTGTGAACTGTTATTTAAGAATATTGATAGCTAACCAAAAAATAAAAATTCTCACCCAAGTGGTTCTTATGGTGACCGAGAGAGCTTAACACGCTGCAAAAAACACATGCAATTACAAAAAACATCAGTAAATAAATATACAATCTTCAATTTGACAGCACATGTGTTGCAAATTCTCATAACAAAATCAACTGAAAAAAACACGCTGCATTTTCCCACAACACAAACAACTGAAGAAACGTGCTGCATTTTGTCACAACATTTTGTTATAACCTGCAGGGATATAGAGGTGTTACCATGTCGTGACTGTTGTTCAGGGAAGTTGTTGGTGGTCTTTAAAAAATGAGTTTTTTTTTTATTAAATGATTCCATTGTCTTTTGTAAATTATTAACCAAAATAAACTGATGATTAAATGTTACAAGTTATTTAATAGTATGCAGCGCGTGAAATAAATGCAGCACATTTTTTTGTTGTTTCTTAAGTTGTTTGTGTTCTGAGAATTTGCAACCCATGTGCTGTCAAACTGATAAGTGTAGTTTCTTAATTTGCAGGTGTTTTTTTAAATTGCATGTGTTTGCTTAAACTGTAGTGCGTTAAGCACTTCTAAACATGTCTATTTTCCTGTTGAACACTTAAGATATTCTGAAGAATGTTGGAAAAAGCAGCCAATGATATTCATAGTACCATACACAAAAATACTATGCAAGTCAATGGCTGTTTTCCCCAACATTATTAACTATAAGTTAGTTTTAGTCGAACAGACTTGAAAGAAGCGGAGGACCAAATTCTGACATGAATTTCATTTTTGGGTGAACTATCCCTGATTGTATTAGAAAATAACACAAAAATACTGATGGGGTTTATTTAGTACAGCAATGCATGCTAGCAAGCAAAACATAAAAGGATGCCTTTATACATTTGAGAGTATATGCTCATATTTTCATCTTTTTAAGCAAATGTGTTTTCAAGACATGCAGAAACCACCGTTAAACGCTGCACAAAGAGCGCTAATGTTTTGCTTTCAGTCCTGAGGATGATGATGATGATGATGGACCCCGGATGAAGCAAGCACACAGATGAAGCAGCAGATGTTGTGCATTGAAGATTATACAATTCATGAATGTCTGCAGTGACTGGTACAGACAGGGATGATCCCGATAATGTTAATCTAATGATCTAACGGAGAAGAATGAATCAAATAGCGGGACAAAAGAAAAGGCAGCACATTGCCGGGCGCTCGACAAACGGGTCTCTATGCGCGCCTCCTCCTCTCGACTGACCTGGCGACAGTGTTTACAGATCCCGAACGAGCTGCGGGTGTGCAGCAGGGCAGGGCTCCCTCAATCACGCACAGCAGCACCGCAGTCCAGTCCACTGAACGACTGTCCGGGGAAGAAGATGCGGACGATTGTTTCTGCTGCCGCCGCGCACCCCGACTTTGCTGTTCCAGCCCTGCCTTAAAGAAATGCAAGCTCACGTGACAGTGTTGGCTGTTTAATAATGGTGTTGGGTGGTTTAATTAAGCGGTGATGAAGCGCGACGTCTTTTCAAGAAATCACAGTAAATGTTTGATTATGTAAAGCGAATAGCATCCAGCCAACCACCTCCCGCTTCCCTGCGCAACCGCCCTCGCACTTTCTGGAAGCCTCACTTCCGCCTACAGCCTTCGTCACGCACTTCCCATTCAGACCACCCGTCCCCATGAAGGCAAAATACAGGCGAGAGCTGTGACTGGAACACACACAGGCAAGTGTGTCCTGCTTATAATCAGTACATTTAGTTTAAAACTGATCAAAATAATATTTCTAAACTTGTAAAAACTGTTCCAACTGCATTACATTTGACATTTAAGGTCTCTGAATTCAAAACTGTTAAGTGCTTCTGTGGTTTGGCTGTCAAATCTGTTTTTTTAAAGCAGGAATTTTGATACAAAAGATGAAGAAATGCACTATTTTATTGTTTTAATCATGTAAATAATGCTAAAATGTAATCCACTATAATGCAACGGTATGTCCCCCACCACAACAAACTAACTTAACTTTGATAAAACTAAGAATTCAAGGGGTGGTCCACTATGATATCATATTTTAAACTTTAGCTGAAGGGTAATGTAGCTGTGTGAACATAAACAACATCTCTGAATGTAAGACGCTCAAAGTTCAATGAAAAGGGACACATTGGCTTTTACGGAATTAGCTTAGCAAAGCTACAAGAAAGCAGAAGTTTGTGGACTACAAAAAATAAAAAATAAAATACATCCGTGTTAATGATGTCATAAACCCTTCAGGTTTCAAGCATACACCCCCGCAGCAAAGAGGCAAGGCCAGATGTGCTCTAATGTTATAGCAGGATGTTTCCTGGTGACATAGAGCCGACCCGTGAATCTCAACATTATGTTAGCTGACCAATCAGAGACTCTTGAGGGCGGGCTTTTGGAGGAACTAGGAAATATGACAGTCATTGTCATGTTAGCTGAGTAGCTGTGTATAATAAAAGACATATGAAAAAATAACATGATTTTTCACAAATTAAGCATGAGCTCACATTGCTTTGCACCCCATCATCACTCTGGATCACCCCTTTAAGCTAAATAAATAACCTGTAAACATTCATTGGAGACATAGACGTAACATTTAGCCTAGATTTATATTTTAAGTAGACCTAGGCTGATACTATTAGCCTACAAAAACCTCACTTTTGGTTCATCTAACAACACTTATGTATATATACAGGCCATAAAATCCTGAATTTAGCCTGAAATCAAATCAGATGTGACCCAAAAAAACAAACTACAGAATGTATTGTACAATCTTGTGAAAGTTTTATGCAAGATATTTTGTCATGCAGAATCAGAGTCTGAAAGAGGTCTGGGGGTCTAATTTTACACATTTCATATTTCCAGTTAATTAAGCACAGGTACAGAGGTGCACATTTTAACTTCACATTTCAAAAAAGACTTCACTTTTTGTTTGCCAACCCCCTGAAAATGTTCAGTTGTATTCAGAATCAGATAATATTGAACAAAACAAAAAGTGATTGGTTGTTTTGCATATATCATCTTGTGCTTTTGGTTGTCCTTGACCAGTAAAAGTTGCAGTGGAGTTGCACAGTCATTCTAAATCAGGGGTGCCCAAATTTTTTCCTATGAAGGGCCAAAAACCAAACTTGATAGAGGCTAGCGGGCTGAAGGTAAATATATTTGCTATGGGTAATTTCTAATTTATTTAATAAGGTTTAAAAATGACTAGAAAACATTGCTTATATTAACAAATACAGTATTTTTAAAAACATTTTATAATTAACTTATTACAGTAAAAAAATATTACAGAATTATACTAGTTTTTGTCTGATTTGCACACAGAAGTCTTCTGCATCCATCAGCTGACAGTATTTACATTTTTAAAAATCAGATTCATTTAAAACATTTCATTGAAACATTTAATTTCAGTTTGTTTTTTTTAGCTTATGAATAAAACAGACAAAATCAAATTATAAATGATGATCTCTGTGTTAAAGGCATTCGCCGCAACCATCTCCCATCATTATCTTATGATATCTCCTCTCATATGGTGGTCCAAATCAAAGGTTACAAAGAGCCAACTTTGGGCCGCGAGCCCTACTTTGGGCATCTCTGGTCTAAATCAGTGACTATGGTTCTATATCACTCCAGCTTTGTAGTTCCACTCCACTTTTTCCATTTGCCCCAAAAAAGGCTTGTCATGAAATCACACAACTCCTCCACACACATTGCTTTGAAACACTGTGGACACAAACAACTGGGGTATTATGCATTCCCAGTACTGTTGGCTCAAAAACATTTGATTACCAACTGACCTCTTGGTTTAATTTAACACACTTTTGTGCTGTATATTCGCATGCAGCTGTGCAATATGACTGAGTAGTTTATTTCTGTTTTATTCATTTAATACATTTATATGGTAATAACCACATTTTTTAAAAACTAAACTTTTATTTAGAAAAGAAGAAATGTACAATATACATCAGGAAGTAATCTACAAGAGACTTGAATACAGTTACACAGTGAAAAGAACAATAAGTAACGAAATAGAAAAGGAAAAAAAGTACAAAATATAGACAGGGGAAAGACAAAATTAAATAAAAAAACACAGAAAGCAACAGACTAACTTATTGGAAGCATGATATTTTGACATGAAGTTTCTATTAACTTGCAGAATTTTTTGTTGTTAGATAAACGTATAGCTTTAAGCAAGGAAACAATTCCAATTAAAAAATACGAACAATCACATCATTTTTCATTTATTTTTATTGCATAACAAGAACAATAACATTAAAAAATTAATACAATGCTTGCATATTTTCTACATCAGAAGAACAAACCAGTAGAGAATTAAAATAAATAAAAAGAAGATTCAAGCGTTTATATAAATTACAAAAAAACTATTTGCATAAGAAAAGGATTCCAAATTTGCATACATCCTCATAGCTTTTTTTTTTGTGTGTGTCTTTTAGGGTTTCGATTTAATGCTTAAGATTTTAAACAATAAATATTAGGCTTATTATTTGACCATTTTTGTATGTGTACATGCTACTTCCCATATATTATCATTAAATTAATAAACAAATTTTGCTCAAAAGTTTTGTTATTACTATTGTATATCAAAAATTATATATTTACAAGAAAACTGAATTTTTAATTTTGTAAGTTTAAATATAAGATATTTAACATCAAATCAAAACATTTGGGGGGAAAACCACATCATAAAAAGGCTTGTGTGCATAATAATGACGTCACGTGAACCCTAGTCTGCGCTTTTTTAATATTCCACAAGATGGCAACAGAGTCAATACACTAAATGTCACACCTGATTATTAGTATGCTTTTTGATTTCAATTCCAGAGACACGTGTTTAGTAAAGTACGGCTTATAAAACTATTTTCAATTTCCCAAGAAAAGACACTGCGTTAATTGTCATTTCGATGTTGTTGCCAATGCCACACATAAGAAACATGTTGTAACATGAACTGGAGAAACAGAATGGGGCAGGTTATTTTTCTGTTTTTGGGAATTGCCGTGTAGCTAGTCTGCCTTGCAGGTTTGTTGACGCCCTTTTAACTCCTCCTCTTTTCACTCACGGAGAAAAAGTGATTTAGCATGGCCGCTGTGCTCAGGAGTGCCGAAGTTTAACCAATACTTATATACTGGGTTTAAATACTGTACGAGGCTTGATATTTAGTAAACAGGAGTCTACCGACATTTCCAGGAGCTCTGATAGCTCCTCCACTGTATTCTAATGAGGAGAATGTGGATTTACCTGTCTTCAGCGCTATGTGCGCTTGTCTTTACAGGTGAGTTTCCCACTTCCTGAATGCTCCTTTTCGGAAAACCTTTAATACGCTTAATTCACCAAATGCGGTTAATATGTAGATACCTGTATCTAGTGACTATTTGTGGCTTTAGAAACACAGTCTGCTTGTTTAGTTTTCAGTTTGAAGACGACTGCTGTGTTTTAATCAGGACAGGCACATCGTGGTTGAATTGTTTATGGTTTAACCACTGCTCATTTTAGTGTTTCTGCGGCACCTATTATACACTTACCAGATTTACACTGTGCTGCCGTTGATAGAATAAGATTATACGAGATTAGATTGATCCTCAGGGAGTTAATACTGGCATTAGAGCAGCTTCAAGTGGATAGCAGGTGCAGTAAGAAAGATTTACGATGGGTTAAAAACAAGGTGTAAATATCTAGAAGAAATGCTTTATTACAAAGAGTGAATCTTATTTATTTATTATTTTGGTATTAATGTTTTAAAGAGTAAATAAATAAAAAAATCTCCATATCTAAATATATCAGCAGTCTTCTGTAGGGGTAGAGTGTGACCTAGTGAAGCAGATTTATAGGATAGGAATGGCTGGAGTCTCAGCTTAAGCTGAGTTAAACACTCTGATCACAGAGAAAGCTTTACTGCTTAATTAATAGATAGTTTAGGGTAGTTCTAGCATAATATTTCCTAAGTGAACAGGATGTGACTGAGTGAAACTAGATGTTGCTTCATTGTAGAAATAGTTCAGATGATGCAAATAGTGGTGACTCAGTTTGAAAGACTGACTATGATCTAGTTGAATCATTTGTTAGCTTTAATAAAATTGCATTCATTATCTTTTTGTGTGTGTTGCGTCTGGGATTTAACATGGTTGTCAAAAACGTAATGTGTATTGTAATGTTTTTACAGTAAGGCTGTATTAGTAAATGTTACTTGATGTATTTAATAACATGAAAAAAGAATTTTATACATTATTATTCAGGTGGTTCGAAAGACTTACCCCTTGCTGAAAAAGCTCCAGAATTTGTCCCATACATGAGCTCATTTGTCTTATTGTGACTGCTATTCCATAATAAATTGTGAAGATAACCAATCCAAAAAGGCTGAAATATCAAGCGAAATCCGAGAAGTCACGCTGTGCCAAATTTGGCGTCTTAAATTCTGACTGGGGAAAGTTGAATGTGCTGGCCAGTTTGTCATTTAATAATTTTAAAACTTTAGCATATTCTTATTTTTGTATTTTAATAATAAGTATTTTCATATTTTTTTTTTATTCTAAATCTTTAGGAAATGCTTTCAGTACGTCAAAAAGTATGGTTACGTTGA